GGAGACTGTGTTCGTCAGACCACTAACCAGTGACCAGCTTGGTGTGAGAGACTCTGTGAGTGTCGCGGGACACTCCCCAGTGTAGCTCAATGGATCGCTGAGGTACGCAAACCGTCACACCACGGCAAGGTTCAGTCTCTTCGTGAGAGGCGGAATTGTTACCCATGTTTTTCATCATTCACCTGCCTTTGGACCCTACCGCTTCCTATCAGATTCAGCTTGCCATTTTTGGGGGCACGTGAGCAATAAATGTAAATTTTCGGATGATTCTCGTGTTTTCTGTACTAAAATCAGTTGTACACTTGTTTACGTAGTTCGTCATATCATGAACGATTTGATCATTCTCTCTGTTTTCCAGAGGGACCTCAATGTCGAAGTAGAATGCCGAAAGTCTTCCGACCCAGGATCGCTCACCCATCAGCTAAAACCGTGTCGTACGTATCAATTTAGCAATATCTCTTTATTGGTCTTGCATAGAAAAGAATCAACACCATGCTCCTCCACTGATGACATCCGCCCCAGATCTCCTTCCCCTAGAAACACTTCAGTTTTCACCAAACCAACTCCAACAAAACCTAAATCAGATTCTCATCCAACGTAAGTTCTCACACTGTATAGGCAACTCATCTATCCATAGAACCCACCCCAAGGATGTCCCAAGTATCCAATCGGATTCATTACCATCAATGACTGAAGGTGCTCCAAATGTTGATATTGATCAGCCCACTCCAATCAGATCGCTCACTCCTGTGCCTGACGTTCAAGTGGATCTATTTTCCACCAAAAAGGTGTAACCTTTCATTCTATCTAATTTACATTTGCCTTTCTAGATCAGGCGCACACATAGTAAACCTAGCGGTGATCCCATGCCGGATGTTGACAAACCTCTGGATCGATCGAGTGTTTCCTTACGTTCTTTACTTAACTGGGCCCCTGTAAATAAACCTCCACCCACGTAAGTTAGGTTTTACTTCGTTGTTGCGACGAGCTATTCTTTCTTCTTCCATTATTTTAGTTACCGCCAAAACCGGACAACAGCGTCTAATAACTCGGCCCCTTCGTCCGAAGTTGTTAAGAAATCCGACCCTTCCCCCGTCAAACATTCTCCCATCATTCCAAACTTGGCCTCGAATTCGGCTCCCCAGTCGGATCTCCTCGCCCCACAGCTGCGACTGGATGCAGATGGGAATATTGTGCTGGACGAGACTAGTCTATTAGTCTCTTTGCCTGAGACCACTATGAACACGAGTGGAATGCGTTTCGTAGATGAGGAGTCAGGCTTACTCAGTGTGACCTATAACAGCTTTCGTCCTCAGGAAAAGCGTGGTGGCCGGTGGGACGCGCGTGAGACTGTACGGTTCTACCGTGCACTCAGTACAATAGGACCAGATTTCTATTTAATGCTGAAACTGTTTCCCAACAGAAATCGCGAAGAATTGAAGGTAAGACGTGGCTCGCAACCCACGGACCAACCACCCTAGCCACCCCTTTATCTGGTTCGTTGGTATCTTGTGCGAATTACTCGTCAGCATGTTGATTTTGGATTCCATACAAGAAAGTATCTATGTTATGTTTAAAGACAGTTGTTTTAATGAAGTTCCACCCAACTGTAGTTTGCGAGATAGACAGGTGTTTGATTGTTTGTTGGGTTCATCAACATTGTATGGTCTGAGTTTCGACAGTTCTTACAATCCACACTTGAAGACACCCCGCTGTGTGCAAGGGATAATGGGTGTAAATATAGCACGTAAACACTTAATCTCCTTCGATGTTCTATCACTCTTTATGTCTTCCATAAGAGACCGTACAGCCATTCCAACCTTACCGTTTGGAAATCTACTAGAGGTGTGCGCGAAACACATAGCTCGCTACTTATGAAGATGCTGAAATCCCCTCGACTACCCACTATCGGTTCTCCCTTCCTGGGAGCCCACGAGGCCGGCATAGTTCCCAGTTCCCATCAAATTTGTACTCTAATTGGAAACTATATTCCAAATTACACTCATTTACGACTTATGTTGGTATTATAGAGAGAAACTTAACTAAATTTCTGCTGTGTTACTCGGGTACTACGCGTGTCTGATGAGCTCCGGCAGCGCGAAACCAGTAGTTGATGAGTAGTGGACTGTCGAGCAGTTTTAAGCAACCTTATAATCAGTGGGCTAGTATACTTCGATATTCACGTTCATCGGCAGTGCATGTCTTTGGCCATCCCTGGGTTTGGACTCGGGATGTCTAACAGCTGTAATAACCTTTCGGTGCCTAGCTGTCATGCCACCCGCAGAACGTACGAGGGCTGGAATACTGCCAGGTTGCCCAAGCCCAGACAGGGGAAGTCGAGAGTCAGAGGTCGGGTTCGAACCAAGGACCTTTGGGTCAGTAAATTCGCACTCTAACCACTCGGGCCATCTCGCCCGACATGTGAGACAAATATGTTTCCACTACTCCACCAACGCACCCGAATTATCACATCCAAACAGGGTAGCGTGTTCTCGCTTGAGCAATTATTGGTTTGTCTGACACTTCGATATCTCGAATATCGAGATGCAGAGCGGTCTTTGTGCAGAACATTCAGCTGAAGAATAACACAAGTGAGAAACTCAGCTGGGACTTCCGATAACGTCAATGCAACTCACAAAACTCATGTTCATTATTTATTTGCTGGTCAAACAAAGGGTCCTCTGTGTTATTATGGGCGCTAAGTGGATAACATTTGCCATCTGCAGTTGTGCAAGGCCTGCTAAGAATATACTCGCTAAATCCTCTGTTCTACAGTCCAAGGCTTCTGGTGGCATGTCTACGGCGTCACACGTATGGTTTATCCCTGGATCTCAAGGGACTTACGTATCAAGGTACAGTGCGGGCTGTTTTGTTGTATGGCTGTGAAACTTGGCCTATTCGAACAACGGAACTGAGACGTCTTCAAATGTTCGACAATCGTTGTCTCAGAACCAAAGCTCGTGTCGGTTGGTGTCGGCGTATCGGTAACGAGGCAATTAGAAAGCGAACTTTCGGTTGTGCAACGGGGACTTCCATTGGACAATGTATCCAGCACCAGAAGCTGCGTTCGTTGGGACATGCCCAACTCACAGTGGCGGAAGCAGAGAGGTGGTCAACCCTTGACTTAACAGAGGGGTATCAAAGAGATGATGAAACGCTTGGGTGCTGTCGGTGTTACTCGCTTTCCAGCTTGAGGACAGCGTGATCCCCACTGCGCCTGGTTGGAGACACTGCAAGATATGGCTGCCAACCGATGTCATTGACGTTCTAGTTGTCAATTTCTATCCATATTGGCTGAATGAATGTCTGGAGGCGTAGGCAATTCGGAATGTTTGTAGTGAGATAGTATTAAGTCCCTTTTGGATCCACCTTAATTCTTTTTTCACAATAAATAAGGCGTTCGAATGGTTCGTGGTTATGCGGCAGCGGAGCATCGATGTTGAATACTGATGTCGTGCTGTCGATGATGATGATGATGATGAACCTATCTCCTTAGGAGGGGATCACCTTGAAACTTGATTGGTACACGGACCCCGTCGACAACAACGATCATTGTGGCTACGGTGTATGCCTGTGTGTTTATCAATTTTAGCTATTCTAGATTACCCCACAATTATCACCTTTTGCGCCTCGGTTTTATTCTCATAGGTCATATCAGCTCATGAGAACCTTCCAACCAAAATTGTTGTCGGCATTGTGTGTTTCATTCGGAGTTCCTAGGGATGTGGTCCACGGCCGCTATCTAGCCAAGGCGCTTGGTTTATCTTCCGGTTTGGTACAGCCTAAAGAGACTGCGTCACAGTAACTTTCAACTCTCTGTAGGCTTGATCTACCCGTCGGTTGATCCGCAGTGGGAATCCCTTCCCCTACTGTGAGTGTGTTCATCCATGTTTCTCGTGTTTGATCAGTCATAACGATAGAAAAAACCTTCATTGATTTGCTTATTTTCTCAGTATTCGTATTGTCTTGTCGAAGCTCTATGCTGACCGGCGTATCATACGGCGTCAAATTTCTAGCTAGTTATCCCACCGTGGTTGCATGGGGCCAGTGAGCACCGTTCGGAGGCCACATTTGGCCTTGAAACCGATACATATATGGTCAATTATTAGCATCGTATACACTTAACCGGGTCCGCGTGCAAAATGAAGTGTATAGATAGTGAAATACACTCATCTGCACGCCAATTTGGAGTTAACGAGTGACTCAGTTAAATTCCAGCTGAATCTCTCGTTTTTGGTATTCTTCGACTAAATGTGCTGCACAAAAGCCGCCTCATTTTTCAGTTTAAAGGATAATCGATAAATAACAGTATGTTTTCTTGAAGGAAACTACTCACATGGTTGCTAAAAACCCCTCCAATCCCCACGACTGGTTTCACCCTTATTGAGTCTCATTAGCTAGACACAGTCCCTGAGTTTCTGTCAACCTGATGTTCTACTTCAACCCAAATTATACGCATTTTGTGAAGTACACTCACTTGTACACCAACTTGATCACATCGGGCGACTCAGCTAAATCTCTCGTTTGTGCCATTCTTCAATGAACTACGCTCCATGAAAGTCGCCTCATATTTCATTCTAAACGATATTCGAGAGTAGGCAGATAAATGGTCCACCATACTTAATTTTAACATCTGGGGATGCTCGAAAGGTCGATCGACGGCGAACTAGTTCCACTGACGTTTTTTGCACTAATCAGTTGTTTCTTTCTTTCAGCGAAAGTTCAAACGCGAGAGCCGTGCTCATCCCTACCTAGTCAACCAAGCATTGCGTAAGTTTTCTTACCTTACCTCATATGTTCGACAAATTTCCCGCAGGCAATCGTCGGTCTTATGACCTCACGGCCCTCGTGGCTTTGAGTGACGAGGACGAGGACGATGAAAAAGAGGAGAAAAAGGATGTGAAGGAGAAAATCGAGAAGAAACCTATTGTCAGGTCCAGACGCAAACGATCGCCGGCCACGAAAATTCAGAAAACAAGTAGAGGTGCATTTTTTCTCCGATTTCTATTCGTTAGTCCCCTGTTCTTTTTTTGGACTCACGATCTTGTGAGTCTTGTAATTTTATTGCAAAGGTTTCGGTAGTTGTAGTAACGGTATTTTTCTCAGCTTAGTTCTCGGTCTGAGCCTCCCAAGCTAGTGTTCACATCAAAACAACCACCAAGTGTGCACGAGGTATATTAACGCCCAAAACGAAGTCAGGATCACTTGTACAGCGCTTCATATATACAGCGTAGGCGGCAATAACTTTCTGGGAATTCTGACGCGTTCTGGATTCGGTATTGGCAACCAACATTCGGCCAATGCTGGGTCATGATTGGCTGTTGGGTCCAGACCTTTAACCAATCACATCTCGCCTTGATGCCGGACCAACAAGCGTCCCGATTCTTGACCAATCTTGCGTGGGATGGACTTCTCGGCCCTAGCAGCACCTGAGTGCGAGCGGTAAAGAGGGGTCCGTGTGGAGCTCCGCCTAACAGTAGTGGATGAAGTTGAAAGCTCCTAAATTTATTCAATTCTAGGGATTACGGAAAAAACAGATCCTTACCGTCCTATATCAAAATGAAACCGTACTAATGCTCTTGTGTACCTTAGGTTACCAAGCTAATTTTCCATAAGCCCTTGACTGTTACCACAGATGTTAAATTAATGCTACCAGAGGTCGAGTCGTAGAGTAGTGGCTTCGATAAATACAGAGAGGGCTACACCCGCCCTATGTCGACTCCAGAGTAGCACGAACGAGGGTATGAAGGAATTTTGAGTGTTTCCGCTATGTCTGGTTTTCCGAGTTTAGGTCCGCATGACTGTCCCTACAGTCCGGCTGAGGGTAGCTTGTTTGATCATGTGATGGAGAGATTAATGCCCCTAACAACGTGGGCTGGACGCCTGTAGATCACTAATGTTCGACACGGGTTTGGATGATGGCAACAGCCACATCCCGGGTGGCGTGACCGCAGAAGGAGGGATTCAACGGGAAGAACGGATTTAGCACCTCTCTTGGTGAATGGCTTCTTATCTGGAGGTGAAACCTGAGAGGACGCAACGAGTAGAGCACATTTAAGAAGCGGTAATTAAATAAGCACAAAGACACCACTGACTTCGTGATTTAGCCACATTGAGAGACGGGGTCTCCAGCCACTTATTGAGTTGGCCTTTATTTCCCCACTGTGACAGACGGCTTTCACCAATATAACTAAGACTGTGAGTTGGACTCGCCTATTCGTTGCCTCCTACACCCCAATCCTGATGGAGCACATAGCTTCGCAAATGGCCTCCGGACAGGCATCGTAACACAGGTCTGCGCTCGCGTAAGCGGTGGCTTCGTCCTAAACTGTTACTAGATGTATCCCTGCCTGCGTTGGAAGGAGCAGTTGCGATGCTGAGGTTGGGATTCGAATCGCCAACCTTCCGGTCAGTGAGTTCGCGCCCTAACCACTGAGTCATCTCAGACTCCATCTCAATCATTTCGGTCACAATGTTGAAAAGAGGTGGTGCGATAGGATAATCCTGTCGGACATCGCTTTCAACGGTGAACTCAGGAGAAAATTGTCCGTAGGCCTTCACAATTGAACGATGCGCGGAAGTTGAAATGAGATATTAAGAATACGTCTTTTTGTTACGTAGTGCAATAAGTTAGAGTGGTTGACTGAGCCGAACGCTGATTCCAGATCAATGTAACCGTGACATATTCAGTAAATCGTCGACGAGTAATGGAATAATCAATGCATTCACAACCTGAGCAGAGCCCTGTCTGGTTTTCATGACTGTGCACTTTTCGGGTGCTACTGACTCTTTTCAGAATAACACTTGTGAGAACGTTTTGAGGGAACCACGATTAGGCTTATGCCCCTTTTGTTTTTGTACGCTGTCCTGTTGCCCTCCGGAAACAGTAATGAACTAGTCGGTAAACAAGAGACCCAACTCATCAAGCGGTGTTTAGGCCGAAAATATCGGTCACGGATCGTCCCTTCCGGTGCCTAGCTGCCATGCCACCCGAAGGTTGCACGAGAGCTGGGATACTGCCTGTTGCCCAAGCCTAGACAATGGAAATCGAGAGGCAGAGGTCTGGTTCGAACCACGGACCTTCGGGTCAGTAAATTCACGCTCTAACCACTTGAGCCATCTCGCCCCCGTGGTCACGGAAAAAACAAATGGACCTTCGTGATATTCATGAAAACACTTGTCCCCGATGACAAAACTTAAAGTGGTTTTTAAATCGCCCAGTTTATCGTTGATCGACAGCTTGGGGCAAAATGACGCTTGCTGTTTACGCTTTTGCTGGTTTTCTCCAAGAACTAAGGAGTTCTGTCGAGGCCTTGGTAGCTTAACCTGACACTTTTTTGATGTCACTCTTCTGGATGTTAAAGTTTCTGATAACCGATTCCCTGGTTCGGTTATTTATGATTGTTATCCGAGTTTTTGGTTATCATGTGAGGCAGTCCTAAGGGAGTGTATTTCTAGTCCTCGCAACGGTTTTCCTCGCATCGGGGTATTTTGTGTCCTCATCTTCGCATAGGGGAAGAAGGCACAGGCGTTTTCGGGATAAACTAACCAAAGTCGTCGTCCCCTGGGCGTGTGCTTTGCTCTTTGGTATACGGTCACTACACAAGCCATTTTCAATCCAACGAGTTGGTTTGATTTCGACTGTGATGTGATGGAACTGATCAATGCACAGCCCAAACCGCATTCTATCAATCGGCAACAAATGCTCAGTTAATGCCAAGCATACAATGTATCCGGTTGTAGTACGGACTGTTTTGTTCTGTGATTGTGTGCAAGCAACGGACCTGAGACAAATTCAGATCTTTGACAACGCTTGTCCCAGCACCACGGCTAATATAAGGTGACCGCATGGGGGCGAGACGGACCAAGTGGTTAGAGCGCGAATTTACCGACTGGAAGGTCCGTGTTTCGAACCCGACCTTTGCCTCTCGACTTCCCCTTTCTAGGCTTGGACAACCAGCCCTCGTGTCTCCTTCGTGTGGCATGGCAGCTAGACATCGAAAGAGTGCTTACAGCTGAACTATTTTTTTTTATAAGGTGACGCAGCCAGGCAATTGGAAACATGGGTGTTCGGAGAAAGAACAGATGTATCCAGCTCCGTACGCTGCCTCGGGGTGCTCACGCATTACTCATGCCTGACTATCGTCTGCCGAAAAGAATGCTATTTTCGTTGCTTCATTTAGGCTGGCCTGAGCACACATGTGACCAACCGCTGACTCAACAGAATGGTGTGAGAGCGATATCGAAAAGCCTAGCTGCTATAGACCCTACCCACCTTCCATGATGGTGTCTGCATGACCTTTTCTGTGTTCGGCTTGAGATATTGCACGCTGTGGCTCCTAACCGTCCGTTCAGATGTAACACCCCCGGTGCCTTGCAACCATGCACTCCGAAGGAATCACGAGGGCTGAGCTACTTCTAGGTTACGCAAACGTACACATGAGCACTCGACTGGTGGAGGTTAGGTTCGAACCATGGAGCTGCAACCTTTGATCCATCTCAAGTTCAGTTTCCAATCAGTATCCGTGATGTTTCTATCCATCTCGTCGAAATACCTACAGAAGTTGTCGAGTACTCGGTTGGAATGCTTATGCTAGACTTGCGCTAGTCCCTCTCTCGTTTTGTCCCTCACTACGAGATTCGAATCCCCTTCAATGAATTATGGCTTCGTCGCAGTAAGCATCGGTGTTAAATACTGGTGTTATGCTATGTTCCACCAGTTTCACTTTTCTTTATTGCCCCCCTTTACCCCTCAGGCTCCAACAACTACGATCCTAATAAGGTCTTAGAAACTATCGACGCGGTTCTCGCAAAGGAGACGGCGGATGATAACGTGTCAGGTGTCCTAGCTGTTGAAGCACCTTCATCGGGTCAAACGACTTGTGTTCTTGATCGAATGATTGCCGCAAAACAACGCGAAGTTGAGTTGGAGACGGTGGGCTCCACAAAAATCAAACAGCCCAGTTCGCGTCCGACCACTCGTGCCCATCCTCAAAGAACAGCCATCAGACGGCGTGAGGCTGAATTGATGGAATATGAACTTGTCCCTGCTCTGGTCACCTTTCCTGCGGCACCTTTGCCTGCCTCTCGATAGATTGCGACTCCGTACTGGCTGACCAACCTGCTGCCAGACTACAGACATCGAAATCCAAGTCACCAGTCCTCATCACATCAAACTTCAGAACCAATCCAAATTCCTCGATCCCTGTTGCAAAATGTGCAATCAGTGTTTTATATACATGTTTATTGACTTCGTGTACGGGAGGCTAGTGGTGTGTCAGTTTTTTACGCCGAGAATAATACAAGCATCAGTATTCTCTATTTGTTTTTTACCTATCCGCGACTACGTGTTGCGCTGCGTTTTTTACCCATCTTTATTAACCTCGCCCGTGTATTATGATACGATGCATAGGGTTACTAGTGGGGATCTGCCTACATACAAAGGCTTTTCTGGAAAGGATTGATGGTTAGTCACGAAGCACAAAGGTAGCACGGTTCTTACTGTCCTTCAGTGAGGCCTGTACTGGAGGGCGAGATGGATCAGTGGTTGGAGCGCAAATTTACAGACCGGGAGGTCCGTCGTTCGAACCCATCCCCTGCATCTCGACTTCTCTCTAGGTTTGGACAACCTGGCAGTATCCCAGCTCTCGTGGTTCCTTCGAGTAGCAACCAGGTACCAGAAGGGTGTCACAGCTGAAGGATTACGTTTTTCACACTAAAAATCATGTTGGGAGCTTAGATTGTTTAGCTGGTGGTTGAACTGTACGTTCAGCTTGCATTTTTCTCGCGAACGTTTAGTCACCAGTCCAGGTGACTAAACCAGTCGGTTGTGCTGCACGGCGATGCGATGCATCACATTGAGGTTTAAAACCACTCCACCACACGCGACGCACCGATGCCATCGTCTGGGTTGGCAATGAAAGGTTTACAGGAAATTTACTGAGCCTGGTAAACAATTCAACCGAGTCGAAGTTATCAAGTGCGGTGGAATACCGTTAGAGCGAAAGCGCTTCTGAGCACTGTTCAAATTGCACGGAGAGACATTGATCTATTAGTGCACAGGTAGTGATAGCCATAATACAAATCAGAAGGTGAATGTGCACTAATAGAAGTTTTTGTATGGTTGCGACACGTATGAAAATAAATACAGTGCGAGGATGGGAGCAAGTCAAAAAGGGAACTTATCGGATGCGAGTCCCTTGGTGGAGGTCCGGACGGCGGGAACGTGTTTTTCTCCGCAGTTCGACTGCTAAACGTACTCCATAGTTGTCCGTGGACTTGTGGAGAGGTTGACGTCCTGCTCCCTGAGCGCGCGCGAGTCTGTGTGTATTGACTGGGTTTGGTTTCTTTATGTAGGTCCCAGTGCGTATACGTGAGCGCGTCGGCACATGACTGGTTGCTACGCTGACTAGGCGGTGCAGACAATCGATGTCCGATGAGTCAGCTTAATGCGACGTGTTTGTGCGTATGAGAAAAAAGACAAGCNCCTGCTCCCTGCGCGCGCGCGAGTCTGTGTGTCTTGACTGGGTTCGGTTTGCGTTTATGTAGGTCCCAGTGCGTAAACGTGGGCGCGTCGGCACATGATTGGTCGCTACGCTGACTAGGCGGTGCAGACAATCGATGTCCGATGAGTCAGCTTAATGCGACGTGTTTGTGCGTATGAGAAAAAAGACAAGCCTCGCGATCCAGTGAGCGGCTGAGTTGAACAGTCAAGTATGTGGGTGACCGGGTCGCTACAGATCCCTGTTTACATCGGAGTCAGGGGCAAGAGTCGTTATCCGGCACACATCAACTCGGGTGAAACAGAAATTCAGTTGATACATGGAGGCCGAATAGAACGAGACCTGTATTTGGCCGTCAGGATTTTTTTATCGACCTTACGGATAGTATTGAGGCAGTCGGGTCTAACAAACATCCACTAGCATGAATTATCGAGTCGAGATTCAAACTACAGCCTCCTCTCTGAAAGATCAAGGGGGTCTTTGGATAACGGCCTCACAATAGCGGATGCCAGTCGACCCAGTTCTGTTGAGTTCCGCTTATTTCTGTCTTGACTATAGCCATCCATGAACGAAATGTTTAAGAGTAAAAACCCCGCTGTTCACGTGATCTTTTACCACTATTCAGCTGGGCTTTTCGCGGTTTTGAAACAAAAGGCATCACCGTCAATGGTGATGTTGCTGTGTGTAAAACAGTTGTACCGATAACCGCCTCCCCCTCCTCTCCTTTTCAGCTCTCTATTCAACCATGACCAAGGATCAGAAGCCTCGGGTTCGTAAGCGGACCACTCATATTGTTACTGATTCGAAACCGCGGCATAACTACGGAAGCGAGAAACCGCTGTTTGTATATTCATGTATTTGCGGACAAATGTCTCTGATTATCGATTGTCTGATTGAAAAACTTCCCCGACGTCCGAGGGACGATGCTCGAGTGATTGATGGGACGAAACGGGCGCATAAAATTACGGCCACACCGGCGAACCCTTCAGCTCCAATCTATATTCGTTGGCCCAACGGGATTGAGAAACAATTTCGAAGATCGTGCAAAAGCTGTGGTCTGCCGTTGTTCTATCGTCATACTATTGATAATGCACCGGTGAGTCGTGAGGTTAATACCATTGTAAGGATTTCACTTCATCCTCAACAGACTAATCAGAAACAGGCGTAAATATACCTATGTGGCCAACCGGGGAACAGATCTGAGGTATTGTTAGCAGAGCCACGAAGCGCGAGCATCCATGCGGAGGAAATACTTGCTACTGGTGCCCCCAATACGCGAGGTGACGTTTGAATAGTGAATAGTTTGAAATAGTGAGGCCCCTCCTGTGGAATCATCGGTAGGATATCCCCCGGATCCGAATTCAAATTTTTGAATATGCATTGAACATGGCCATTAACCATCGGTTGGCCTTGCCGTTGGGCTGTCTGACTTGAAATCAGACTGGATATAACAGTTTGTTATCCATAGCCTTAGCATATCCCCCGGATCCGAATTCAAATTTTTGAATATGCATTGAACATGGCCATTAACCATCGGTTGGCCTTGCCGTTGGCTGTCTGAACTTGAAATCAGACTGGATATAACACAGTTTGTTATCCATAGTCCTTAGCATATCATGACCTGGTGTGGATTGGCTCCTTTGAACGATGTTTTGCCTATCGACTCAGCTTACAAACTGTGAACTTCCAGCTTTGGAATTCACAAAATCTCGTTATGGCAACCCCTATGGGGATGTTTCTTGTGGGTCGTGCCGAGGAGGAACAAACTCTCACACCTCTTTGGTTTGACCTCGAAAATTAAGTTTTCTGTGAATAATTACAACCTGTCGTGTCAATAGGATCTGAAAACTCATTCTGATCAGCACGAATAACCCAGATACTTGTTAGCATAGACCCATAGCCTATGTATACCCAAGTGTGTTACTATGATGGCCCGCTTAGCAATCACTGGTTCTTGTTACCTTGGTCATCCTGGATGAGTAATGCCTGTGTTCCGTGGTGACAATCGAATAACGTCATGAAATGTCCCCTCCGATGAACACGTTTGTGAGATACAAAAACTTTCCTTGAAGAGTATGGCTTCCCGCGGAATGGACGACTGATGAGAACCGCAGAGCATTTTTTATTGGAGTCCCACTGTGTCAATTAGATGTGATTATCTTGAATTTCAGCAAACGAAAAGGCAAAGCAGCCGCCACCCCGTTCACCGGGCGGATATTCCATAGACGCTACCCCACATTACGGACTTTTCGAGTGTGTGATAGGGTATCCATCTGGTAACAAAATACTATTAACAATGGCCCAGCTGTGGGCAAGAACGAGTAACTGGTGTTGCTCAACCTAAGCTCGAATAAGGATGGGATATTTCATCACGAAGTGAAATGACGGTAATGCCTCACCTCGGTTCTCGGTCTGTTTCTCCAATTAGTCAGCTCAAAGCTTGTTCAAACTATAGCGCCTCGTATCTAGGATGTATGGCACAATAGCATTCTTAAAATGTAAAGAGCGCCTTCAGAAGGCCCACTGACAGCCGAAATTTCTACCAACCAGAGCTCACCTTAACGTTGGGAAGACAGACGACTCGATCCGTTGACCAGTCACATGAGTGCTACGCTTGCTTGAGCTTGCCTCAGCAGGGTCTAGCTATAAGCGGTGAAGTGCCCTGGACTTGGCGTTCCGCCAAACAAGAGATCAGAATCTAATGCGGACCTGATGGATACCGATTTGCAGCGCCTCATCTCTTATTTCGGTTTCTGCTGCAGTCGCGCTGTGCGCGTACTCTGAACCAAAGTTTCGGCCAAATCAATTCAAATCTGGTCAGAGAGCCTTTGGAAATAGTGCGATGGTCTTTAGGCATTGGTAGTGTGATCAACTGCTTAACATGAAAGTCGAGTGGTCAACGATATTTACGGAAAGTGCATGTTCTTCAGCTGGTATCTAGAAGAAACGATTTTAACTGTCGAAATCGTCTTGTACGGGAACTAAGTATTTCACCCTTATTTCGGTAGCTCTCTCCTCGTTGGAGAAGAGTCGACTGGAGCGCCTCACTAAAAATGATATATTTTAGCTGTTTGTACTTCTGAGAAGGACTTTGGACGTTCAAATAAACCTCAGGATCCACCTAAAATAGGTTCATTACGAGAGGAAATAACTATATTAAAAAAACCCTTTTTCCTGGCAGGTAGGGGCACGCTGAGAACTTCGCAAACTGACTTGGATTCTTCACTCCTTTTTTTCTAACTCAAGAACTTCTATGCATGTTGTAACCGTGTGGCACGTTTCAAACTGCTAAAACATCGTTTAAATCAGCTCACTGTGAACCCACCAATGTTGCGTGGTTAGAGTAGCTTAATTGTGAGTAACGTCGACCAGCTTCTGGTCAGTCTAAGCCAAAAAACGACCTATTATCTTACTGTGATGTTTCCTTGTTCAAGAACCACAAAGTTCTTCCTGTTGGTTTCGGCGGGAAGGGGGTGCAATGGAAAAAAGTCCGTCTCGTGGAAAAAAATATTGTTTCGGGCTTGTTGGCTATCTTGGTGACTCAAGCCCTCACCAAAGGGCTTTCTGTGAGAGCTGTTGCAGTAAATAGGATAATAGGGACCCCGGTTGGTTCTTTCTGTCCCGACGAGCACTAGTTCCAAAACCGAGAAACGTGCATGCTGTGAACTTCTGTCAGATCTGGTTTATACAATAAGAACCCAAATGCTGTCGCTGGCAGAGCTATTTCTCGTTCAGTTGTAGCGCTCTTCCAGTGCCTAATTGCCATGCCACCCGAAGGAAGCACTGCCAGGTTGCCCAGCCTAGACAGGAGCAGTCGAAATGCAGAGGTCAGGTTCGAACCACGGACATTCCGGTCAGAAAATTCGCGTTCTAACCATTAAGCCCTCTCGCCTACACATGCATCCATTGTAGGATCTCGTTATGACATTGAGCGGGATCAGTGGTTGTTTCATTCCTATCAGTTATCTTGTTTTCTTCTAGGCGGAATTCATCATCAAGGATGCCTTGAAGCTGCAAGACGATCAAACTGCCCTCCCATCTCTTGTCCTCCAAGCCAAGAATCAACCTGTCCGAACCACAGACGAGAGCAGTGCAAATGCTAGGCTTTTGGAAGCGCTAGCTGCTGAGGCAGCGGCCGTCCAACAAGAGGGTGGCAAGGCTCCTGTGAGGCGTAGTGTACAGCAACAGGAGACAACTCAAGGAATCAACACAGCCGTCACTGTATCCACAATCGAAGATGAAGAAGAGGAAGCCGAGGCTAAGGAGATCGCGGACTCCTACGCAGCCAATGCGCGAGTGATTGAGCAGGAAATGATACGCCGCGGAATTATCAAACGACGTTTGGTCGAGGAGGCAAGTGTCATTCGTCGTTTTGGAAGTACTTGTTTGTTTGTTTGTTTCCTTCAGTGTCGATATCTACCATGTCAACTACCACTGCTAGCAACTGACATTCCTCGCTTTCTTGAAGCCTAGAGAGTGTCCAAGCCTCTTAGTTTGCTTAGCTCTGTTTAAATAGAGAACCTAGTGAATTTAGGATTTCACAACCAAACAGATGCTTCCAGCGTCTACGGATCGTGTTCATTTAGCCTCCCATTTAGACCATTGGTTTGCTAGCGCGTAGTTTTTACTTCAGTATTTAGCGGTTGACCTCATCTTTTGGTCGATCAACTGGAATTTTGTTGCACTCTTTGGTAAAAGAGTCTTTAGATAGTTACCGTTCCCCAAGTCTGCATTCGGCCAGATTTTGGCTGCTTCTGTCTCACTCGATTGGGCGCGCTCCCATTGTGTAACTGATGACCCTAGTTACTGCACTCGTCTCTGATTCATAATTGTGGAGGCCATCATCTGCAACCACCAGTAACTTTTCCATCTACTGCGTTCCATCTTGACAAAAATGTGGCTCAGCCGTGGCTTCCAGCAGACCTGAGAAACCACCAGTAGGTTCAGTTCTTCTGGGCCAAGCCAGAAGCATTTGAAATACCGTGGTTGTCCGGATCAGCATCGCTTTGAAATCTCCCGATTGGGCTGATTAGCGAAGCTTCCTATCATGAGACCGACCAGACTTTTAGTCCTCTTCAGTAGAGCTGAACTCTGGTATCTCCGTCAGCTGATGACCTTGAGGAAGTTCATGGAATTCGTACGTTGTAAATAAGACGTCGGTAGTGGAACCACAACTGCTACGTTAATCCGACGTACTTGAAAAGCTCAGTACTGATGACGAAAATATCAGGGATCAGAATCATGTTTTGAGATCGATGTTCAATAGTTGGTTAAGATGGGAAGCTATACGGAGCAAGTTTGGCATCTCATTGCTCCATTCGCACGTGTGTAAAATGCGGTTCCGAATTGGATTGAGATTGCTTTTCCATCCCCATTGAGTGGTACAATCGACCCTATCCCATGGGCATTATTACGGGCATCATATAAGTGTTTAGAAATCAGGCAACTTGGACCACTGTCCTTCTCCGGACGTTCGCTTGGAACGATAACAAATTTACTATGCAACCTTTTTTCAGTATCCGTCTTGAAAAAATTGCTTTTATTTTTCGGAGCGCGCGGTTTGCACACAGTGATGATATAACTTGTCACCCTGTTGCACTGACCAAAGTATCCCACTCAGTCTTTTGCTTAAATGAACTACATTCACACCTGTTGTTTAGGCTAATGATGAAGCGCAACAACGACGCATCCGCGGAACCCTGATTGAAAAGTGAAGTTCTACAAGACACCTGAGTTTGTGATTTCATCCATTTTCCTTCTGATATACTTTAACATTTGCACAATTCCTTCTTACTGGGACAAGGCTGGGTCCCGTTTGTCATCCATTTTCCTTCTGATATACTTTAACATTTGCACAATTCCTTCTTACTGGGACAAGGCTGGGTCGCCGTTTGTCAAGCCTTCTCGTGAACAGCCGTGCCACTTCCTGCCGAGTTTGCGTAAACAGTTTTAATTGTCAACATTTACACATCCACCTGCGATGTGTTCACCATCCGGTGGGCGACTACCTCACCCAAATTTCCTCCACAGCGTTTATCTACTTTTATTTTTCTAGTAGTACATTTGTAAGCAAATGATACCGGGAACCCGTTATATAGACAGGGCTGAAATGGAATAGGTGTTGTCCCAAAAAACCAGCATCAGGAAGAATCCATGTTATTTCCCGGCTCGATCTATTGTTTGGTTAACTAAGCAAAGTAATGTCAGAGACGAAGCAGGATTAAAAAGCCATTAAAAGTATACTTTTCAATGATACGATTGTATGCCAATTACAAAGTCAGTCACGGCTAACAGTTGAATGTAATGTCAATATCCCTTGGAAAATTGAGTTATTTGAGGTGGATAACGTATTTTTTCAGGCCAGGTAGAAAAAATTGATCTATTTCAGTCCCGGAAATAAGGATTTCCTTGCATGAACCATTATCTTGGCAGTCGAACTCTTATTCCATCGTTGTTAGATACGTGTCATCAACCATTGGTGACTTGAGTTCCAGGGTCCCCATCCAGGGAGGCGGTAATCGTTGACCCGACTCAATTTGCGAGTGAGTGTTTTCATACTTCGTTGCCAGGTCGAACACTGTTCACTTCTCTGTCGGTTCCACTCAGCACAGGACTGGGCAGACGGTCTTCTGATATGCGGAGTACCTGTCCTGATCAGCGTAACCTATCAAGCGTGAGTCTTGTAGCGGCAGTTTACACTTTTCAGGTGTGAAATGCATGCCAAACCATTGGGCAAAGTTATTTTGGTTATTTAAAATCGTCTGCATCTGGGAAGGGTCTGAACCAAGGAGAGCAATATCGTCTGCATACTCAATGTCTGTGAGGGAACATCCCGGGAGCATGTCGACTCCCGAAGTTTCACAGGCAGGGAGAGAAATTTCAAGCAGCGCATCAATGGCAATATTGAAGAGGAAAGGTGATAGATATTAGCTTTGTCTTACACAACCGGATGTGGTGAACAGTCCTATGTAAACTATGATCCGCTATCGGGTATGATAATTTCAGATGATCCATCTAACACTTGGTGTAAGAGGTGCGATTTCAGGCTGCTTTGAGAAGGAATCGATGAGACCGGTAACTTCCACTTGGATGTATGATTATGCATAATGTGCTTCTACTAGACGAGGCACAAACGGCTTGCGTGACGGAGGATGGACAGCTTTTTGAAGCCGATTAGATTGGTTGCTTTTGTTTCGGAAATTTGGAGGACAGAAAGTAGGTTGCACCTGGTCGCATACTAGTCCGGCCGAAAGACAAGTCGCAAAAGTTTCACGAATCATTCGAGGCTGAGGAGGTCGGGGTCTTTTCCTAGTTCCGGCGGATTCTGGAGCTGGCATTATCTCCGGACAACAACAACTCTCGGTTTAACACGTAACCGGATCTAGCGACCACAGATACTGTCGGTGGTGGGTTTGGACAATGGACTGATAACATGACACTGGCTCAAGCCAATAGTAGATTTACCCTCCGCAGAGGACACAAAATAGGCATTAAATCCAATATCCTGATAAACGCCTTTCCACGAGGTTGCACTTTTTACTAACTAGGCTCTAGGATGCACTTTCTGTCTGCGACGCACTGACCTGAAGGTTGCTGAGCTTTGATGCCAGAACATTTGTCTTTTTGAGGGAAACCGGAAAAATCTCTCAAAGCAATAATGAGTTTTCCATTCTGTGAATCCTCAACAAATATTCTGTCACTAACATTTACCGCTATGGTGATTACTGCTGTGGCAGCTATAAGTTTCCCATTCTAGAATGGTCAGTTTGATGGGATATTTAATCAGGCTTATGCTGCTTTGGTTGTCCAGATGAATCAGCATTAGGCGGTGAACACTGAAAACCCCTAATAATTTACTGTTCGGTTACAAATTGACTATCACTTACAGTGTCATCATCCTTTCAAGGGTGCAGATTCAGGTCATGTGACTTCAAGTTGACCGCTTCTCCAGGGGTTCATTTCTCAGTGAAAAATACTTATGTATCTGTGCGACTATTACTCGTATTTTGTAAGTAGTGATGACCGCATTTTGAATTTCACCCCAACTGTGCCTTTTCCATGTTAAAACCTGTAGACTCTAGTGAAAAAATATCGGAATAAAGTTCTCATTGTATCATGACAGAATCTGTTGCATTGTGGGTGGCCGTCTATTAGGTTACGCCTGCAAGACTACGTGATAAGGAGAAAACAGAGAACTCGGGACACGGCTGTATTGTCAGGACAAAACATACGGAGTTTCTGCGTAAATATATAGGATGACTTAATGACCAAATGTGGTCGTTCACTTGTCCGATCTGTACAGCCAATGGTAGTGTTCCGATCGTGAACAATTTCAGCCCCACCCTACTGATCTTATGTTGCTAAGCCGTGTTTGGTGAGCTCCGCCAACGCACCTGCTTTCCGGATGTGTCGTACCGATGGTGACCTTGGGAATGCGTCACTCTCTGCACATGTGCTTTTTCCTGTCTGGGCGAGTCCTGACAGAAACCTTAAAGTGTAACAGTAGAACTCTCGAAAAGGGCCCATGTTTAGTTAAATGCCGCCCCCCCCCCGCGACATCTGAACCTGACGTCCAAGCGTAGTTAGGTCGGCACGCTTTCGGCTTCCTATTGAGGCATCGTTGTAACATTATTGGGGGATCCTACGAAAAACGTCTGGACGTCTCAACGTAGAAAAGGCGAAGAGGGCCAACATTCGGACTCGAGTATCCTGGTGATCACTTCTGCATCTTCGAATTAGGTTTCATTCACCTTTCGGCTGGTATTTACGCCATTTACGGACACAACTTTAATTTTTGCCGGCTATACCCATTTCGGTTGCCGTCGCTAAACTGTCAAATGACGCTTGTCCTAAGATAGCCGCGTTGAAGACGCGTACAATCAACTGTTAAGTTAGCGACGAGGGGCGCAGATAAACCGTGGGCTCTAGCTTATGGATACGCGGCACATTATCCCAAGACATATACAAGCTGTCCAGCTTAATGTCAGTTCAACATAACGATAGGCACCCTGAAAACATTAGCGGTCACGTTGTGTAAAGGTCACCTGCGCGGTTTACCCAGTCCAACGAATTTGAAACCAGTTGTTGTCATAGATCTCCTGTTTCCGAATTCTAGGATGAAGTTGTTGAAAGGAAAATTGCAAATTATTGTTGTTCAAAAGATAGTTCCTCCTCTCAATCGGGAGGATTCGATCTCTCATGCTACTCTACGTCCGATTGTATTGTGTTTCGTCGTTTTTGGGAGGACTTTAAAAAGTTATCGGTTATAGATTCAAATTTCCCAACAAATGTTGAGAACCTCATCTAACATCTTCAGTTCTACCATTCTAGCTTTTGCGCACAGTGTGATACCAACGATGGGAAGTGGTTTGGCCGAAGGGTATAAGTTCTGAAAGTCAGTGGGGAAAGGTCTGAAATGTCCGTGTTCCAAATGGGGACTATGTTCCGATGCTTATACATAGAAACATACTGAATTCACTGGGACCCTTCTTTTGTACATATGACGTTGGAATTACCACAAAAGTGCGAGGTTGCTCGACATTTAACATATCCTTGTCGCCCAAAGTCCTGGTACGACATTTTGAACGTGAGTCTTAACTTCGAATCCTGAAGGCACCACAAAAGTGATCACCTGCTATTGACTAATTTCTGCTCTGTTGAGACACAACGTGATCACACGGTCTCGTCAAGGCCTACGATACCCAGACAAATTCATAGTCGTGCCTATTCAGCAACACATAAGTGAAAGCAGTGTGTAAACCGTACGGCACAGTCAGCGTTCGAATTTCTAGTAGTTGAGTCTGTCGGATTATTTGATAGCTGCGGCAATGTAATGTCAGTATTTTCCTGAGCTTAGTTTTGTCTGGACTTTCCAAGCTAGTGTTCCCGCCAAAAATAGCCACCAAAAGTGCACAACGTATATTAGCGCCCAAAATCAGGTCGAAACCAGGTGTACAGCGTGTCTGTCACGACAACATTCTGGAAATTCTGACGCCTGGACGCACTATTGGCAATCGGTATTCGGCGAATACTGGGTCATGATTAGCTGTTGGGTTCAGACTCTCGACCAATCAGAGCTGGCCTTGATGCCGGACCCACAAGCGACCCGAACTTTTGGCCAATCGTGTACGGGATAGGCTTGTCGAACGTAGCAGCGCCTAACTGCGTACGCTAACGGGGTATCGTTGGGAAATTCCGTCTGACAAGTAACCATCATATCGAGGTTTCAAAGAGGATCTAGATCGAAAATGGCAGAACACGTAAGCAGTGCATCAAACGTTGAAGACCGCTGACTCACTGATTGTACTGGAAACCATAGGGTAGTTAGGAAATTAATCGTGCGAAATTTATCCGCCCGGACCTACTTGAGTCATGTATTTCTCATTGTCCAGTAAGATTACTTTATTGAAATCCCAAGCAATCGGGACAACAGATATCTTCAGATTGCTTCCTGCCAGTTTCGGTAGTTGGCCGAACACTTTTGAAAAGACCACTTGCGTATACTTTGCTTGAACGATTGTGGACTGATGTGATTCCCACGAACGCATTAATAGCGGTGGTTGCACTCAAATGGGAGGTTTAGTGTGCCTTCGATAGGTCACATGCAATTCCGTACATGATTTTAGATCTAAATCACAATGGATGGCAGAGGTTTACAGGTCTTTTCCACTGGGTGTTTAAATGACATACGGTCAAGTTGGATAAAACGCAATGAGGCGGTTGTGAGCTTGAGAATCGTGCCAGCAAGCTGTATATCGAACTGTTAACGTGCAGGTCAACGGAATCAAATCGCCGATTTGATCACAAGTTAAACGAAATCAACTTCGGCATCCAATGACTTTAGCCACCTACCACCCAAGAGGAGCTTCTGTGAGCATTCGCACTATGACTGAGCTGGTTTGTTGCGTACATATATGTGTGACTGATATTGGATGGGCCTCCGATGAGACACTCGCTTTCTGTGATACCTAAAAAGCACCAGAGGTCGCCGAAAGGGGCTGTAGTGCACCATGGGCTCTCTGACCGACCAATCCAGCTGCAAGAAGTCACCGTCCTTGCGTTGTGTTGAAGGTCAGGTGATACTGTGTAGTCTGTTCATCTCGCGAAATCGATTCTTCCAAATCCGTCGTGTGGTAAAAAGGTCCCACTTGGGTGAGTGTTGGTTCCATTACACAACGTGCCCAAGTGGACCGATTAGCGTCACAGTATGTTGTGTGTGTTAGTCACAGTGTCGTTCAGTTCCTTATCGCCGAACGGTTCAGTCTGTAACTACTAGCCGGAAAGTCACAGATTTGTGAGACTCTTGAGGTCGCACTACTGTTCTATTGTGCGGTGGCCGAGCTATGGGTTACGCCTGCACTGAGCCTGCCAGACTACGCGATAGAGAGAAGACAGAGAACTGGGGGACACGGCTGTATTGCCAGGACAAAACGTACAGAGCGTCTGCTTAAATATATAGGATGACTACTTGGCCAAATATGGTCGTCCACTTGTTAGCCCCGTACAGCCAATGGTGGTGTTCCGGTCGTGAACATTCTCAGGCCCGCTACGCTGGTCGTGTGTTGCTAAGGCGTTTGGTGAGAGCCGTGTTTCGTGGGAGCCGCCAACTCACCTACTTTCCGGAC